TGTTATATTTGCTAACATTTTTGCATGGAACTTCTGTTTAATATTAAACAAAAGATCATGGAAGTTTTATTACTCAGTAATAAAACCAAGTCAGTGAGTCATTCAGTATCTCTTATCGTCTATTGCCCTAATATTTGCCATAGATATGATATCAACATTCTGTTAAAATATTTTTAAAAGTATGTGTATTTTAGCTACCTCTGAGTAGAATGATGAACAGCTCTATTCTTATATACACATATGTTTCTTAAAAAAAAAAAAAAAAACCAAACCACCACCCACAAATTTATATTTTAATCATGGGGCTTTATCTAGAGTTGTTTATTGGGGAATGAGGGAATGTGAAATACTTGGACCCTCTTTGATTTCCAGTTTCATTGCTGGCCTCCTGCCGGGAGCAGGACTGCACTTGCATTCCCGAATGCCAAGCGTGGAATACAAACAAGAGAGGATCTGCTTAAAAAGTCCTTGTTTTCCCTTGTTTGCTTTTGTTATGTCAAAGATTACAAAGCGGAAAACACAGAAGGTGTCTGGGTCAAGCTGCACTGCAGCCCAGGGACAGAGCCCTTCCAAAATATTGTTGGGAAGCCTAAATACCCTCCAGGTTGTTGCCGGGATTGCTCCAGCCTGCTGCCATCTTTGGTAAATCCAAGGTCATTTTGTTGGGCTGACCAGAGCTATGTTGAACATTGACAGTTGAAAGGTTTTGTTTTAAAACTATCCATTGCCTTCGCTGTTTCTGTTTTCCTGCTGCATCTGCTCTGTTTTTCAAGGTCCTCTTGGTTCTGGCTCAGGTGCCATCACTTCTCAGAGTCCCCCGCTTTGTGGCACCAGGAGGTCGGTATTTCTTGTAGAGGAGCTGTTCTGCTCTGTGGGAGCATTGCTGTTCACCACTGGGGCAACAGCAGGGCTTTTCCAGCCTCCTGAGTGACCTCCCTGAGATTATATTCAGTGAAATATGTCTGAATGAGCAGCAGTTTCCAGTAAAGAGTCGATGTTTACTTCGTGCCATAGTTATTCCTGTGAATCTGGCAAAAGTATTTTTTCCTATTACAGTTTCTTGTTGTGGGAATTAGCTGTTAGTAGTTAATAACTAGGGTGCTTTTGCTGTCTTTTGAGTACTTTTCTGTGCATAGATGTTGAACCCTTTCTTTTGTATGCACTGGAGAGGTAGTGGGGTGCACTGTGAGGTGCAGGAGACTGAGAAACCTTGGCAACATACAAGCCCAAGGGGAACTGGGATATTTGTCATGGATCACAGAATCACAGAGTGGTTGTGGTTGGAAGGGACCTCTGGAAATCATCTAGTCCAACTCCCCTGCTCCAGCAGGGACACCCAGAGCACGGGGCACAGGGCGGCATCCAGGCAGGTATGGAAGATCTCCAGAGAAGGAGATTCCACAACCTTCCTGGGCAGCCTGTGCCAGGGCTCTGTCACCCGCACAGTGAAGAAGTTCCTCCTCACGTGGAGATGGAACTGCCTGTGCTTCAACTTAGACCCGTTGCCCCTTGTCCTGTTACTGGCCACCACTGAGAAGAGCTTGGCCCCTTCCTTCCTACATTCCCCCTTCATGAACTTATCCATGTTAATCAGATCCCCTCTCAGCCTTCTCTTCTCCAGAGAAAACAGGCCCAGCTCACTCAGTCTCTCCTCATATGAGAGATATTCCAGTCCCTAAATGCAGCCTTAATTCTGGGTGATGGAAATACCTGGCTCGGCAGTACCCTGAGGAGAGCTGCACAGTTATAAGGCCTTGAGTGCATTTTGATGCATGTGTCTCTTAAACAGTGTTGATCCTCAGGGGTTACCACTGTCTGTGATCATACAGACATGGCCTGGGAAAATACATCAGCCTCGCTCTATACCGAGAGACTTTGCTGCAAAGGGGAGGCTTTTCTGCATTCAGTTAAAATTAGAGGTTTGTGGCAAATCCCCAGCAGGTTAGCTCCAGAATACCTTTGTTTCTGCGCCCGGGCCTTTGCTGTGCTCACATGATACAGATCTGCACTGACGCTCTGTGCTGACAGCCTGAGTTTTCCCATTCCTGTGCCCTTTGGCTGCCCGAGTGCCTGAGCTTGTAAAAGGAGGAGAGCTGGAGAATGGGAGCAGAAAAGAGCCCGATGCCAGGAAATTGGCTGCTCTCCTTGGTCAGAACCTTGTGCTCAGGCTGCCATGTGTTTTTGCTGGGTTGTCCACTTGCCCTCCATGAGGTTCCTTTCAACATTAGACTGTTTGCTTGAAGTTCTCCAGACTCTGAAAAGTCTCTGGGAGACTTTTCTGGGAAAGTCTCTGGGAGAAGTTTCTGGGAAACAACCCCCACCTTTGTGGGCACTGGTATTTTATCTGTGCGCCTTGGGGTTCGTTGCAGTCTCCTTACTGCAGCTGGAAGTCAGTCACTCAGAAGTCATCTTAGATACGTGCTTCTGCTGAAGTACTACCTGGTGTAAAATTGCTTCAGGATCATTTTGTTGGGCTTCCACTTCATCATTCTAAGCTGTGTCAAGCTTAGGGCTTAGATGATTATATTTTTAACAGTTTAGGTTTATTATCATTGTAAATAAAGCAAGTCTCTTAAAGAAGGCACAAAGAGGCAAGGCCCCCTCTGGAAGTGCCAGGGTAACATGAACCAGCGTAATATGTTGCTCACACAAGTGCACAGAAAAGTGAGGAATGGTCATTAATGCTGGGCTGAGTATCAAGAAGCCTTGGGAAGGATGAGGGACTAGAGGACAGGGAAAGACTGTTCAGCCCTTGGCGGCTGGTGTGAGTGTGAACATGGATGGGAAGGAGAAGGAGGCCAAAGGCAGGACAGATAACAGATAGATGAATGCCTGGAGGGACAAGGCATTCAGGAACATGGAGGGCCTTGTTCCCAGGAGACAGCTGGAATTCGCCGTGGAAGCAGAGGCCGCTGCCGGCAGGGGGATCGCCGTGGTGTGGAAGGAAGAGCAGCCCGTGCACCAGCAGGGCCTGGGGTGTTTGCTGCCCGAGGGCCTCCTCGACACCCACGTCTCAGGACTCGCCGCTCACGCGGCGCCGCACGGCAGCGTCGTGAGCTCTGCCCTGCGCCGGGGCATCGTGCCCTCAGGCTGCTGAACCCGCCCCGTGTGCCAGCTCCCCGGGGAGGCAGCAGAGCTGCCTTGTGCTGGGGATGCCTTGAGGGACGCTGACTTTCATCAGCAGCAAGTCCAGGCTAGTGCCCTCATCACTGCAGCGTCCCGATGCTGCAGTTGGCTTGTGGCTGCCGTGTGAGCAGGGCATGTGTAGAGAAACACGGATGTATTTCCTTAAGATGCCTGAGGTAACAAGTTAGTCTTTAAAAACAGGTAAATCTCTTCTGTATTTGCGAGCTGACTGAGTCCCTGGTACTTTCTGCTGGCAGTGTCTGGTTTTGTAGGTAGCTGTTCCCTCTGCTTGAAACCAGGGATGTGCTGGGAGCACTGGGCTAATGAGTATCACCCTCTGTGTGTCCTGGGAGTTAATGCCTTGCAGTGAACCCATCTGCTGGACGGCCAGGAGGAGCTTTCTGCCCAGGGTCACCGCTTGCAAGGCTGACACCCCGCAGCTGGGTCTGACAGTCCCAGTGGCTGATGCTGGGAAAGGCTCCGTCCCTTCCTTTTCCCAGGCAGCGGCGCGGGAGGGCACGTCCTCGGGGCACTGCTGTGTGTGTTCTGCAGGGTTATTGTATGTGCCACGTATGTGGCAGCACCGGTGCCACCGAGGGGTGGGTCACCTGTGACAGAGGGCACTTGTGTGCGGTGAGTGATGCAGTGGCTCTGCCAGACCCCGTGCTGGATGCTCGCAGGCTCAGAGGCACGGGCCCTTTGCAGCAAGCCATGCCCCAGCCTGCTGAGTCAGCAGCAAGCAGCAACTTGCCCCTGCCTGAAAAGGAAGCCAAGAGAAAGCCCAGCCCGCGTCGCCGTCGCTGCTTGCAGCAAAGCCACTTGCTGGCAGTAAGTTTCCCCACTTACCTCAGTATCTGGCCAAGTGCATCTGCAAAGACCACCTAATGGCACTCCTGAGTCGTTCGCTGATGCAACCAGCACAAGGAAACAGGGTTTAATGAAGGCAGTCACTTGCAGAAGTGTTTACCATGTATTTGCACAAACGCTTTTGAAGAGATGAGTGGAAATGCAAAGATGGTTTGGGGGAAGTTGTATTAAACAAAGGCAGAATTTAGCTTTGGAAAAATTTGTCTGGCTTGGAGAGGGTGAGATGGGTGCTTGTTCAGGCTGCTGATTTCATAGGGCGAGGATGGGGCAAGGATGTAGGAATGGAAGCCAGCTTATCTTGCTGGATCTGCAGCTCTGCCCATGTGTGTTCATGGCCAAGATGACTGCAGGGAGTGGGGATATTTCTTTTTTCTTGCAGCTGAATGAGGAGAATCTGAGCTCAGAGAAGTAGCAAAATGGATGTTTGCGGAACTCAGGAGGAGCTGCTGCAGCAGCAGTCCTTGCAGCTCTGCCAAACAATTTCCAGCCCTTATCGTCCAGCTCCTAGCACTGTGTTCAGCACAGTTAGAGGACAGTAATAATAACAAGGTTAAAGAACCCAGATTTAATTCCGAGCTCAGCTCAGGCAGTTTTGATGTTCGTGTGCAGTAACTCAGTGCAGTTGCAGGGCTGACCCCACGATAGCAGCGTGTCATCTTTCTTCTCTTAATTGCTTTTCTCAGCTGCTCACAGCTGTTATTGTGGCCCTCTGCCACCAGCTTCTTCAGAGATGATGTGGCTGCAGCGCAGGTTTCCCTGCTCCTGGTCTGTCCACAGAAGGAATTGGCCATCCCGAAACTGTCAGCTGGACTGTTGGTGTTTAATTCAGATGGCCCTGTCCGGACTGGGCACTGCCAGCGTGACCACGTTGCTGGTGCCTCCCTCTTTGCCTTCTCTTGAAGAGAAACTGCAGATTGTTTAGAATATATAAGTCAGTATTTCCAACACACTTCAGCCAACCTAATGCTTTTTCTTTTATTTTTTTAAACTCCATATTTGTTCTGCAGGAATACATCGATGCGCATCCTGAAACCATCATCCTGGACCCTCTTCCAGCGATTCGGACGCTCCTGGACCGCTCCAAGTCTTACGAGCTAATTCGGCAAATAGAGGCCTACATGCAAGGTAGGGCGGTCGCCTGCTCTCCCAGGCACCTTTCTCTTTTGTGCCTTCTAAGGAAAGAGGCAGCTGGTTCCGGGGCACTGGGCACGTCATTCTAGTTGGTGGCTTTGACCCCCTGGTGTTCCGTTTTTTCCTGGGAGCCCAAAGACTGAAGCTTTCTTGTGTCACAGGGTTGTCCTCTGGAATCCAGCACTCTTTGCTTTTTTGAAGTGTGAAATGAGGTTGGGAGCTGGTTCAAATACGATGTGGCCTTAACGGGGAGCATATTTATTAGAGAGAGCAGTCCCCAGAATTTTCTGGAAAACATTATATTTTGTGTGTGCTTGTAAACTGACATGATTGTGCAAACTCAGCAACTTGTTATGGGAATTCCGAAACCTGAGTTTAGAGGAGATTCATGGAAGAAATAAAAAACCCTCCTGGAAAGGACTAAAAGACATGAAAGCTGTGCACCAATATCTGCAAGGGCACCTGTGGGGCTGAATGGTTCTAGTATCTTAACTCTTAACTAAGTTAGGGACTTTAGTTCCCTTTCTGCTGTCATCCTGACCTGAGGTGCGTAGCTTCTGTGCTGATCTAGAGACTTTAATAGCTCGTTCTTTTGAGCTTAAAGGTGTTTTTCTCCTGCTTGCCTTTAAACAAAAGGGTAGGGAGACTGCTGGTGCTTGGTTTTTACACCCTTCTTTTTATACATCTTTTCATTGATAGTAGGTAATAATAGCTAGTATTTAGCAGCTAAAGCACAGCTCTTTCTTGAAGTTTTTCTTTTGAGATTAAATCTAGAGCAGCTCTAGAAGTAACAATACTATGTTTTTTACTATGTTTCCAGGGAAATGCTTTTCTGAACCATGTTTTAGTGTAGTTGTGGTGCTGTTACCATTATGACCATGTTATCCTTGTCTTTATGGGCAGAGAAGGAGCTTGTTAATTTGTATTTTTTTAACTCTGGATTTATAGGCCTGCAGCCTGGCCTCAAAGCTGTGTCTCTAGGAGGCTCTCAAATATGTAAAAATAAAAATAAGACTAGGAATTTGCGACACCTCTCCCTTAGATTTGGAATCTCTTTAGGAGAAAGTGTCCAGTTGGTTTTAAAGGATTTTGTTTTGGAATGGGTCTGGAAATGATGGGGAGAGAAGTTCTGAGAGCAACTCGGGCTCTGCAGAAGTGCTTGTTTTTGTGGTCTGACAGTGGAAAGAGTCAGTAATTTTTATTGTTATCGATATTATTATTGTCTCTATGGGAACAGTGTGCTCAGGAGAGTGTACAGTTTTTGTAAGTAATTTGTCTTGCACACATTTCAGCCTCTTTGGCTGAAGTTGGTCAAACCAATGAGAAAAAGAAATCCTTAAGGATTAAAAAAAAAACAACAAAAAAGTAGGTTTGGATTCAGTTAAATCTGACACTTTGCAGAGAAACTGTTGATAAAATTGAGGAATTAAGGAGAACAAAGCAGTTTTCACTGCCCATGGCAGCGTTAGGTGGCCATAACCCCCTTTCTGACTACATCTCAGCTTATTTCTATCACATCATCAAAAATACCGTGCGATAAACCTTGAATTCAGCTTTTATATTTAGCAGAGGAAATCTCAAGAGAGCAGAATAATTGGCTAACCTGTTGGCCTGGCCTGAGTCGATCAGTCTCTGTATTCCTGAATGTAATGATTTGCAGTGAGAAATTCAGGGTGTGTGTGTGTGTGTGGTGGGTTTCCTCTCCTTGTTTTCACCTGCCAAAATGGGTTTTCTGCTTTGCCGCTGTCCTGTGAAACCCTCAAGGTCACAAGCACTGAGGAAACTCAAGTAAGAAGTGCTGCATTTCTAAATAGAATGAGGAATGAGGTATTAAGAGCTTCCTTTTTTTGTTGTTATTTTTTATTTTGGTTGCTGTTGTTCTGGAATTTCAAAATGGAAGTTACCACCAGGATCAGGGTTGTAATATTTAGCTGCAATAACCCGTTTTTTCACAAGATACAAATTTGTTGGGATGGGTTCAGTCCAGTGTAGGAGGTTCCCTCTCCCGAGGCAGTGTCTTGTGAGAGGACTGGCCATTTGTGTGAGGATATTTAAGCAGAATTGTATGCTTGGGAAAATCTTTAAAATGAAGATCCAGTGTGTCCCTCAGAGGCCCTTTTAAGTGCAGGTGATCGTTACCTGCAGGATTAAAGATCTGCCTCTGTTTGGCAGGATTAAAGATCTGGATCAGGATTAAAGATTTGCCTCTGTTTGGTTGGGGTTGAGGGCCCCGCAGCCCTCGGCCTCTCCAGCCACCAGCAGTCTGGCTTCAAGGGCGTTAGCGCCTCGGCCTCCCAGCCAGCGCCTTGCCTGTCCTTCCAACAGGAAAATCTTGGTGTTTCCTGGGAAAGGAGTGCCCCTTTGAAGCATCTAAAACTGCCTATCTTACTGCAAGCCCTGTAGGATGCTCTGTACGGAGTCCTAGGCATGACTGAAAGGTAACGCTCTGATCTAGCACCAGAGCAAGGGGTGGGAGAGATGCCCTGTGGCCCCTTCTTGTCCCTGCTGCCGCAGTGTGGCAGGGAGGGAACCGAGCTGGACGAGCACTACACAGCAACGGGCGGGAGCTGCACGTGCAGCCTGGGCAAATCAGGGAAATGACCTGCCCAGGTCCTAAACTGGCACTGAGATGGCACCCCATGGCCCGCGGTAACTAGCAGCTCTTGTGTGAATCATATAGTTTTTCCAAATTCTGGCCTTGCAAGGAAACACCTCTGTTCTCATCAAAGAACTTCAGCAAGAGATACTTTAGCATTGATTTTAGTGGATTATTTTTCTGGAAGAACTAGTCTGATCCAGGCTTTGGCTTCCTCTTTCCTCTTGTCTGTTACTTTAAAGCAAGCTCTAAAAGCGCTGCTCATTCGGATCCCTTCACTTCTGGGGCTTTTTCAAAAGACTTTTAAAGAATAGTTTGCATTCCCAGCTTGTGTCCTGCGCCGCTGGCAGCTCGCTCTGGGATAAATCTCTGGAAAGGTTTCTTGGCTTCGCACTGAGTTCTCTCAGCAGTTGTGCTGCTTTGTTTACTTATCTGTGAAGAATGGCTTCTGATATCAAAATGCTCTAGATTGGATACTCTTAACGTTTGGGGAAAGCTCGGGAACATGGATTAATGGAAACTGTGTTTTTAACAGGCCATTTTGTGGCTGGAGCCGTCTCAGCTGTTTTCAAGCTTTGACCTCTTGGAAAATAACGAAATTTTCTGAGGCCGTGTTCAAAAGCTGTAGTCTTACAGGCACAGAACTTCAAGATCTGACTTTTTAAGTGTGCTTAATATGGTAGTAGATATTCCCTGTGACTATGCTTGTGGATCTAGCCTTTTTTTTTTTTTTTTTTTTTTTTTATTGCATTGCATTTTTAGTTTAAAAGCTGAAAACTTTTTAAATCCCCTACATATCTTATAAGTAATAACCTAACCTGAAAGAATTAAAACCAGGACCAAGGTAAACATTATTTATTAGTCACTCTACCTAGTATTTGCATATGCATCAGCTTCCTTTTCTGTTTCAAGTGACTAACTGGTTTCTCAGATAGTTAAGTATTGCAGGCCTTAAACTTTCTTTAATTGCTTCCATATGGATTATTTTTCATTATTTTAATACCTTCTCGTTCTTAGATTCTTTAATAATTCCTGTAGAAAATTTAAATTTCTCACTAAATAGAGTTCCTCTACAAGACAGATTTCTTGTGTGAACTCAGTTGTTACTTCTGAGTTTCCCTCTCCCAACAGTCTTCTCTGAAGTACACGAACTATCCCCTGAGGACATGCGAGATAACATAAAACCATTTAGCTATGATATTTTCATCCCAGTATGTAATTGAAACAATTTATGTTTGATTGTTTACTCTATTATGAGATGCTACTGCTCTGGGTGCTGCTTTCTGATTTTCAGAAATGTCAAGGAATAAAGCAAAACAACACACCATTATTTTTACTCTGGATTTCTTAACTGGACTCTCTCTCTTTTTCTCTCTCTCTTTGTTTCTCTCTCTCTCTCCCTCTCTTTCTCCCTATCTCTCTCTCTTTCTCATAATTAAGGAAATAGTACTTGACCAGCTGCCTATATCCCTGTGTCCAGCAGGGAGAAGCTCGATGTGATGGATCGTGTAAGGCTCTGGATTGGGATTCTGGGGTTTTCTGCTCGGCCCTGGGTCTGACTTGCTGCATGACTTGGGCACAGCTGGTCAGCCCGGGGCATCTGCCTCTTCTTTGTGCTTGTCTTTTCCCTTTAGATGTCGTATTTTTCAGGCTGGGAACCCCTTCCTCCAATACTCATATACATACTCGGATACAGCAAGCCTCTGATGTCAAGCACGTTCCTAGGTTTGGCTTAAATAGATACTGTACATCTATTGTGGAGTGGATAATTGGGTATCTGCAATTAGCTGCCAAAGTAGATAGCCTTAATTTTGCTTTTGGAAGGTGTGAAACACGCGTTTCTGGAGTACTGCAGGACTTGTCAAAAATAGGCCACCCAGTTAAAGTGCCTGAAAATAGATTTATATCTTTACACAGTCCCCTTTTGAAACTATGGTTGGTCACTAATATCTGGCCTACTTTTCCCAGAAATTGTGGTCAGAGGGGAAGGAGAAGACTGCAGCTCAGCTTTGGGCTCATTTTGTCTGTATTTGAAGCTCCTAATAAGGTGGAAGGCAAATTCAGTTTTTAATTTAAGGACTCTAAATCCTCTCCCCCTGAGCATCACTTGTTTATGCAGGAGGCCCTCCCTGAAGCATCTGCGCGAGAAGCCTGGTGTTAGTCAGTGCAAAGACCCCTTCAGGCGTTTGGGGGTGAAAGTCTCCCTTGCTGCTTGGATGGACGAAACTGGAGAGAAGTGAATATTCCTGCAGGGTGGCTGCAGGGGCTTTGTCTGGAGAGCCTCGGCACAGGTCAGTGCGCGTGTCAGTGCCCCGTGCCGCGGCCGTCAGCTACAAGGAAAATGCATGAGACTGAAATAAAGGAACAAAACGGCACTCAAGCACCCATTATTTTCTTT